ATATTATATTAATATATATAGTATTACGGTGCAGATAATAATAATCAATTTAACAAGTTTACCAATGAGAGCTTTTTGCTTTTTTACGCATGCTGTGCCACTTGAGATCAAAAAATTTATTCGCATCTTTGTTGTAAAGAGTGTCAAGATAATAGTATATTTTATTAAATTCGAAACATATAAATAGGACTGCCGTTCCCACATTTTTTTTCGCAGCACCAACAACATAGAAATATTTCTCTCACTCAATCTTCTACATTCGACCACGGCGTATATCTTACAGGCAATCAAGATGAAACTCAAGTTTATGAATGAGTAAATAAATCAAGTGGCATCTTGCTGATCAATTCAAAGATTTTTTTTATAGATCTCTTGACTTGGACAGTTCAATCTTTTATATTCAGAAAGGACACTCCATCCACCTTTAAACAGTCAAAATCGAAGTACAGTATATTTATTGGTTTCGATTAGTGTATGTTGAAAGTATGAAATCCTAAACGGACCACAAAGGACAAACCTCAGAATTTGAAGATACAAAGTCTGATGATCAAACAAAAATTTAGAATATTATATTAAGAAATGTAATAATTCGAATTTAATTTTTTGTTTGTAAGTAATGATAGTTGATTAATCTCATTTTACATAACTTTTTTTTAAAGATCTTTTTTTATTCAAAGACTTATTTGTAGAGGTTGGAATCGTCCAAAAAATCCTTAGTCGACTACTAGTTGGTCAAAAATTTCTTTAGTCAACTATTAGTTGATTATTTTAGTTGCTATTTTAGTTGAATATTTTAGTTGACTAAAGAAATTTTTTATAATAATAATATTTGTTTTTTTGTTTTTTTTTTTAATTTGCAAATTACGAATTCATTTCCATTTGAATCTTTCAATACTTCCACACAAAACCATGTGTCACGATTCGTTTTTTTAAACCGCTTAAATCATTGGAACTTGAAGCCAATGAACTATTGGACCTTGTATTGGGGGTGTTTATTCATTCACATGTAAAATTATTGTCATCATCATCATATTGGTGGTATTGATACTCTTCTGCATTGAAATTTTCCATTTTGAATGATAAAACACAAAAATCGTAATTGGTCAGACAATAATAATATTAGTATAGTATTAGTAAATATAAATAGTCAACTAATTAGTCGACTAAAATAGTCAATTAAATAGTCGACTATTAGTTGTTCAAAAAAATTTTTAGTCAATTCCAACCTCTACTTATTTGGTAATAAAGGAGGGGTCAACATGCCGCATACAGCCCAGCACAACAATTTGTTGATTTACCACTCTTTCAATAACAATCATCAAATCATTCATTCAAAAAACAAATCATGTTTATTTAAAAAAAATAAAAAATAAAAATATAAACTGATTCAAGCAGTTTCTTCATCACTATTGTGATCTATATCCTGAACCTCAACATCCTCCTCCTGATTTTCAACTGACAAATTTTCATCTACATTGGTGCTTTGCCCTTGTTGTTCACTTGGTCCATCACATTGATTAATGTTTCTGATCTTGATACATTCAAGGAAGTATCAAGGCACCTTTTTTGTTCGCTGCTTCTTCCTTATCACATGATACTTGTGGTGTCCTTTTATGTTGCGTTTGACAGTGCTGAGAATGACAACAATGTTGATGTTTTTTGCTGATGATCAGCTAATTGAATCATTGTTCCTTCTCTTGGCCTTGATTGTTGGGGCTTTGATTTGTGCCAAACTGGTAAGACAACTCAATCTCACTATAGATGATTTCTTTTTCACGAAGAGCTCACCTGCTACTGAGAAGATCGCAGACGACTTTGTTGCTATAGCTACAGCCGAATACCGCCATTCGAGACTGTATAAATCTACAGGATCATATAAATTTATTAGATGTTCCTTTTCATGATGAAGTAGCTTTGCTGATCCTGATATTCCTTTTTCCTTTTTGCAAAGGGAAGAAAAAGCACCAAATAAGATGTCCTCTTTCAAGGTTCTTAAGTCTAAGCTTATTATTATCGACTGAACCACACATTTACCTACACAAGAAAAATATAATTTGAAATTAATATATTGTATATGTACATTTGCGTCATGACCGAGTTTTCTCTAATTTCTTGAATCATATCTTTGAAGCTCTGCCAAGATTTAGCTTTATGAATTCTTCGTTATCCACTCTACTACATGCAGTACATGTGTAAACCTCACATACAATTAATGACAAAATAGAAGCCATTATTTTAATTAACAAACAATTTATCTGTGTGATAGATTATTAAAAAAATAAGTTCAAATTATTATGTGTTGTTAAAAAAAGGGTTTAAAGAATAAATTTCAAAAGATATTATGTGTCATTATTAAAAAATTATTATCATCAGATTTTATTGAAATTGAAATTGAAAGACAATCAAAGCGAAAAAAGATGGTTATATATTTCTAATAAGCATGGTTGATGATTACTTAGTAGTCGGAGAGGTCTTGTTACCATTCCTATCGTGTTATCCTACAACGTTATTTATTAATTTGTATTTTAATTTTTTCAATTAAAACAAAAGGCCAAAAAGAAAATATTCAATTCATTATACCATTTAAAAAACGATTAATTGTAGTTACAGTATGAAGGATTTCGTTGCACTGTTTTAAAGAAAATTCTGATAGCTTTTTTTTTTTGAGATAGGAGGGAATTCTTTTACAATTAACAATCGAATTGATAATTATTTTCGTACTCAAATTTTACGAGTTTTTCTTAAAAAAAATTGGTCGATTTCTTTAACAACGGTAAATTTTTCATTTTAATAAAAGTATTTATACATTTAATTTAAAGATTAATGGCAACCCGGGGTGACCTTTCAAAATATTATAACACGAATTTAAACTTTTGAGTATACATATGTAAACTCGATAAGTCGGTTTTGGTCAAAAATTTTCATTCCTTTTTTTTTACCATTTAAAAAAATTCGATAAGTTGGTCAATCTATATAAAGTCGTCGAGTATTAGTCACAATAAGTCGGTTTCATGTGATACATTACGCACATGACTATATACAGGATGAAACTAAAAATTAAAAAAGTTTTCAATAAAAAGACAATTTCTTTTTTTAGCAACAACAACAATAATAATTTGTTAAATCTGTGAAAATTATTGGATCTAATCTAAAATAAATAAAATATGATCAATTTCTAACCTTTGTCTCAAAGCTAACAGTTAAAACCTGTGAAAATCATTAATCCGAGATAAATACACTCAATTTCTATCCTTTGTCTCGAATAAAGATAGAGATTTTTTTGATCTGAAAATTAGAATAGAAAATCCTGAAATAATTGATGAAGAGAGATAATTGCTGCGGTACAAGAATCACAAGAAGAAGAAGAAGAAGAAGAAGAAGAAACTATGAGTACTCCAATATCATATACAGTTGCTTTGGATAGTATTCAAAATCCATTTAATTATTACAACAAGGTACTGATATGAAAGTAAGTAACTCCGTAATATCAGTAATGACATCAAATTAGAAGAAAATAAAGCGCTTCTTTAAAGCAACCTAACTTGAAAAGTTTTTTTTGTAATGAATAATTCTAAACATTTTGTTATATTTTATTAAATAAAATTTATATGCTCGATAAGCCGGACACATGTGCCTGACCTGCGTGTCCGACTTATCAAATTTACATCCGCACTGTATATAGATAGAATCAATTGAATTAATGTCTGTTTTCCAATAAATTACTTACAGTATATTGGAAGGATCTTAAAATTTCGAATTATAGATATTGATATATTGATGTTAATGTTAACGTTAAGTGTTGCCAAATTTTTTTAAAACAGATACAATTTCTATTTTTAATATATATATAATAAATAAATAAGAAAAAATGTGGGCCGGTAAAAAAAAAAAAGCATGCTAGGAATTGATTGGTTTTTGGTATTTATTGTTATTATTATTATTATCCGTTTGATTGTATAAATGAATTTATACTTAATAATTAAGCCACTGTTAAATGTTTCAACATTTATAGAAATAAAAAAGTTTTTTTCTTAAAATAGAATTAAACTTTAGTTTAAGAAATGACTTCTAATTTGAGCAATGAAAAACAAGAAAACATGCCTCCCATTTTTTTATCTACATTCTTTATCAAGACTATCTCATCCAACGAAAATTTAAGTGGAAGCTCTCTGTATAAATCAAGCCAACCACGCATTCAGAGAAAGGGAATTTTTAAAGTGGTCAGTTTTGGATTAAATTAATAAATAATAATAATAATTAATGATTTTTAATTAAAAAAATGTCCAGGTGGGATAAAAGTATTCGGTGACATTCCCCAACTTTGGTCAGCATCAGCAAAATAATTTTGAAATTGATGGTAAGAAAGCATCGAGAAAACAATTCCTCCTTTAGAACGCTTTTGGCTTGACCATTTACAAGGCACAAAGGTTAACCCTACCACACGTAACGTTGAATGTTGACGAGAACATATTTGCTGAGGGTCAAGTATATGTTACATATCTTTGTTTGAACATTCTCGGTTAAAGGTCTCATAAGGGCTTAGAAAGTTTAATACTGAAGAGTTATAAAATTTAACAAGGTAGTAAAAAAAAACAAAAAAAATTCGCCGGTCTCTGGGATTCAACTTTGTCTTGATTTACCGCATGAAAATTTGTTTTTGTGTTACCGAGATTAAATCACGTATCCCAACTTAGATTTTTGTTACTAAAAAAAAACAAAGATGTAATTTAACCGATTCCGCAACAATTAATTATCATTCACAAAATAACGACAAAAATTGCCTTTTTTAATCTGTTTTAATAAAAGTTTATTATTATAAAAGCAAGGAAAAAAAACGTTGATCTGAATTTTTATAACAATTTTAAAAAAACATCAAAATGTTTCAAGAACTAATTTTTTCGATTTTTTCCTCAATTATTATTTTTGCATTATATTATCATCGAAAACTTTTTTTCCATCCAAAAGAATTAGCAAATATTCCAACTATTCCAATTATAGAAATGTTTAAATCAATATATCATAATGCCCCACAAGATGAAGTTCAAGCCATGTTTACCAAATTTGAGACCAAAGGACTTTCTAAAGTAGGGTTTATATTCTTTAAAAAGTAATTAAATGAATATATTTGTGTCAATTGATTAAATATCATTTAAAAAAAATTTTAGTTTTGGATTTATAATGATTGGGAAGTATTCATTTCAAAATATGAATATGCAAAAGATTTCTTATCGGAATCAGGTAAATGATTTACATTTTGTATATATACCAATACTAATACATAATAGCATGTATATCTACGGAACAACCACAAAGCACGAAATATGTTCAATTTTTGTTAAAATAGCCTAAGCCTCGTCTTTCATTATACTGGATACTAATACTAATAACATCATTATTTCATATAGCTGAGGCGTTACCAAAATGGACGCTTCCTGACAAACATCCAACAAGAAAATTTTTGGGTGATGGTTTATCTTTTTCTAACGGACAAGTAAGTAATAACAATTACTTTTAATCATGTTGTTAAAAAATTTTTTTGCAAAAAAAATGTTAAAATTATTTAAAAATGTAAATAAATCAAAAGAAATGGATTACGCATAGAAGGATAGCAAATCCTGCATTTAACCGTGCACTTTCCCCAGAAGTTGTTGGGAAAACAACAATTGATTTGATAAATTTACTTGATAAAATAGTTGACCAACCATTTGATATCTTTAAAGTAATGCAAAGAATCACCATACAAGTTTTAGGAAAAGTTGCATTTAATTATGATTTCAAGGTATTTAAATTAATCGAATCATAAATTTTTTTATTTACATTAATAATAAATAACATTAGATTTTATTTTTTTTAGTGTTTGGAAAATTTAGAAGCTCAACATGAGGTGATTGAGACTTATGTTAAAATTATAGATTTTCTTGGTGATCCACTTCTTTATGTTGTACCATGGTTACATAAATTTCAAAGAAAATCAAAAGCTGAATTTGAAAATGATTTAGAAATGTTTAATTACAATATGCTCAAGATCATTCAAAATAGAAGAGAAGAGATTAAAAAATCAAAACTTTCTAATAATAATGATAATGATAAAGATTCAACATTAAGAAATGATTTGTTATATGGGATGATTGAAGCTGCCAATGAAGAAAATTATGAAATGTCCTCTGATGATTTGAGAGATGAAATGGTCACTTTTTTCTTGGCTGGACATGACAGTAATTAATTATATTCTTTAATTTTGATTTTTTTTAGGGAATTATAATATTAATCAATTATTTGGATAAAATATTTCATTTTATAGCAACTTCACATGCTTTGAGTGTAGCTTTCTACTATATGGCCAAATATCCTGTAATTATTGATTTAAATTTTTTCAAGAAATTAAAATTTATTTAATTACCAATTGTTAATCAATCAATCAATCAATCAATCAATCAATCAATCAATCAATCAATCAATCAATCAATCAATCAATCAATCAATCAATTAGGAGATACAAAATAAAGCCAGAGAAGAAGCAATCAGTGTCTTGGGTGTGAAAGGGAAAATTCCAACCTCAGAAGATTTAAAGGTAGTTATTTATAGTTGATCTATTTTATTAGAGTGTGTTCCAAATGAGATCATTGTCATTTTGGTGCTTATTACTAAATACATACAAATATTTATATATTATATGATATAGAATCTTAAATATATTAATGCAATAATTAAAGAATCTTTACGTCTTTATCCAGCACTTGTTGAGACTCTTCCACGTCTCACCAAAAAAGAATTGAGATATGGCCAAATGATAATTCCAAAAAATACTATGGCAAGTGTTAATATTTGGGCTGTTCATCGTGATCCACAAAGTTGGCCGGACCCTGAAAAATTTAATCCAGAAAGATTCTTATCAAGTAAAGATGATAATAATCTACATGCTTGGATGCCTTTCTCCGCCGGGCCAAGAAACTGGTAATTATTTTTTTATTCGAGCTTTTTGTTTTATTGATCTTTGAAAAATAACAATCTGTTTGTTTTCTTTATTCAGTATTGGACAAAATTTCTCCTTAATGGAACAACGTATAATAATTTCAATGTTATGTAAGTAAAATATTTATTTATTTATTATTGATGAATTATTTGAATTAATACCCCAACAATAATCTTAATAATATATTTCTACTCCCACACTTTTCAGTATTGAATTATGACATTAGTTTGCCACTAAACTCTCCTCATAAAGATAAAATACTAATTAATGTTTCGACTTTAATAAGACCGGTGAATTTGAAATTGATTTTTTCAAAAAGAAAATAATAAATTTCATATGCATGCTGTAATAGTAACCCCCCACTCCTTTTTTAATCGAATTAATATTCAATAAAACTTATCTAATTCTTTTCTGTTAGTAAAAAGACCTTTATTCTTTATCTTCATTTTTATGGTAGCGCGGTGGTCGTGGTTTGTGACCCTATAAAAATAATTTATTGAAAACGTACGTTATTAATATATGAATTAATATGGAATATGAGTAATAGTAATAGTATCAACGAAAATGAAAATTGATAAGAGCATACAATAAAGTACCGTGACCTTCATAGTGGTAATATTCTTTATCAAAAATATGACATTCAGCTGACCACGCATATAAAGTATTACATACATTGCATTAAAAGTATTAAACGGTAAATAGCATTTAGTTTTGTGGAATATTGATGTCAGCAGCATCAACAGGTCAACAACGACCATCTAATAGTTTGTCACATAATTTATAAAATATGTGAGGCTTCGAGACTTGATTTTCTACATTGGACTAACATACAAGTGTACGAATGAATGACCGACTGTTAAAGAAATTGGCAAGATTATTAATATTTTACATATAATTAATTCCGATTTCTTGTAATAAATGCCGTGTTTATTATGGTAGATTAATTCTTATAAATCTCTTGATTCTTCGCTTGGAGGACATTAAAGGTGGAGAATCAAATACGGCCCATTCGGCGGTAGTAAGATGGAGATGTAATTTAATGCTGAGGTTGAAGTGGACATTTAATTAACATATTTTACACCACATTTGGTTCCTGTTTGAGAATTGACAATGAAGAATTGATTTGCATTTAATTCTTCAATAACATGGACTTGACAAAATCTCGAGGATGAAAAACAAAAAATAGCTCAGTAGAATTTGATGCCTTGAGTGATGTCGAATTTGGAGAGTGATTAGACGAAACAAATGACGGACAGCTGTTAGTAGCATTGCATAAAGTTTGGAAGACACCAAAATATGAATTATCGTGAAAAACTGCAGGTAAATGAAGAATCAACATCGTAATCAGGAAACCCTACTTAGATAAGTAATTCCTCATTATATCTTATTGTCATTAATCTAAGGAGTGGAAAGGGATGCTGAGCAGTGAATTATAAAAAGGCTCTTGCAAATTTGTGAACGAATGCATAATTCAGCATTTACCTGGAAACTGGCTGTCCAAACTTAAAATCCTATTATATTACTAAACATACTTGTAACAATCTTTTTTTATGAAATTTATGTTAAATGATATCAGTAAATAAAAATATATATTTTCTACCAAAACGCGTGAGATCACGTGTAATTATTATCAGAGTTCAAAGTTTATATAAACGAGTTGCTGTTACAACTCTTATTTACTCTCCCATTGGTATTGAAATTAAATTTTCATTATCTGGATTAAAATATATAAATTTTGACTTGTTAAATCAGTAGACAATATTGGTTTTTGCAACAGTTTTCCTATTTTTAAAGTTTACAATACATAAAACATATCATTCCCAAAGATATACAGTATTTTTTTTCTTGGTTTGCATACAAAAAAGTTCGGTTTGAAGCTTTAAAACAAAATGGTAAGAAATTGTTTATAGACATCAAGAAATTTTATATGGAGTGTATGAAATTAATTGGACTATTGAATTAAATGATGACTGGGATTAATGGATGAAAGAATTGACTTACAAGAGAATTTATCCTTTGATAATGATGATGTTTTAATAAAATTCTATCCTTTTGCTATATTCAATTAAGTACCAAATTTTTCTTTTTAATAATTATAATTATTATTAAGAAATACTACTAGTAGTATTACCATTATTGATACTACTGCCTTTATTTAATGAATCAGAAAAAGAATTC